TGGGTTAGCCTGGTGATGGGTATTAAAGAGGGCACGTCCTGCATGGAGCACTGGGTGTTATGCACAAACAATGAATCATGGAACACTACATCACAAACTAATGATGTAATGTGTGGTGATTAACATAACAATAAAAAATTTAAAGAAAAGAAGTGCCAGCCACATAGGAGGCATGATCCCAACCACTGGGATCTTCAGGAATGTATGTGTAACTCCTTCTTGTTCAAAACCATTTGGATAAAATAAAATATACCCTTTTAAAAAAAATAATAAAAAAATAAAAAATAAATAAATAAAATCTTAAAAAGAAAATAATCCCGTGAGGCTATTACTCTTTTTCAAGTTATCTAAAGAATATTTTCAAGTGATCTGGAAATCTAAACAACCAATTTCTTTGTATGAAATGTATATTCCCAGTCTTAGAATACAGAGAGTCACCAAGCGCATAGCTGAGGAAAAAATCCCCCCACCATTTCATGTTTCGTATTAATATTGACATCTCTGTAAAAGTCGGCCAACAACAAAAAGGAAAAAAGTCAAATACTTAAATATATTTATTTTAATAAAGTGCATCAATTTAGGTAAAACAATATAGATGATAACTTTTTAGACTTTGAGCAGCTTCACACACCAAGACAGCTCTAAGGAATCTGGAGAGCCTGTCATTCGTGATGATCCATTAGCACTAGCATTCAAAATGCATTTTTTAACAATGCTCTCAATTCGCAATTGCAGATTATCTCCTGGTTATCTTGGTGATTTGGTTGTATTGCTGTCGTAGAAGCTTCTTTTTCCTTAAAAGAAGGAAGTCACTGTGATTCTTGTGAACACATTACTGACACTGCATCTATGACAGATGAAAAGGAACAGCAAAAGCTCCCCAAGTTACATTCAATAATAAATCAGAAATGACAGAAAGAGAACTTCCATTCTGTTCTTAAAAATTGAGATCCATATCATATAGCACAGGGTCTTTGAGAATTCTATAGAGAGGAAACAATTTAAAGCATACAAGAACAAAACAAATCACTTGGCAGGCAACTCTCACTGACTCTGGGTGCAGTTTTCCACTCTGTAAACATTGTTTTGCACTTTGCTTCTGGGTTCCCAACACTATGCAGCCTTCCCTCTGATCATCCCTGGCAGGACTCCCCTTGGAGGAAGGGCAGTAGTGGGAGGGAAGTATAAAGCATAAAGGCAACCCATCCCACTGCCCTTGAGTAGCTCTGGCTCTAGAAATTGACAAAAGGAAATGAAAAAAATCTGTTCAACTGACATTATGTGAGAGAGAATAGCAATTCTTAATATATATGTTCAATTATTTAAGAAATATTAACCACTAATGCTTATTAATATATTTACTCTGATCCTTATAAATTTGTGTGAGGGCAAACATTTCAAAGGATGAATGTAAGGCTCAGAGGGGTCAAGTAATTTGCCTAAGATGTGCAGATCTCGTTAGTGTCAAGGAAGAAACTAGAAGGCCTTAAATATTCTCAGATGGAAACACAGCAAAAGTCAGCATTGTGCAATGCACTGATGAATCTATGTATTCCAAGTAAAGTAACATGCTTTAAATTTTTTTTCTCTATTTAAAATCTTTTCCTTGGGCACCTGCTTTTTGCAGGGTGTCCCCAACAAGAGCAAAAATGATGCTCACTCAGGAGGCACAGCCTTCTTTATCCAGAAGCCCCAGGAGAACAGCAGCATATACCAGTGTGATGCATACACTCATGGTAAGGGGGATTTGATCAGAGCCATCACCATCAGCCTGAATCTATATTTTTTTCATATAGGACATGAACATCCCTATGTAATTAAAATGAGCCATCTTCCATCTACCACACTGCTGCCGCAGACACCAGAGGACTCCATCTCTCCTTCCACCCTCCAGGAGTCCCTCCTTCTGGAGCAGGGGTTCGCAGAGATGCAAGGCCATTTAATCCTGAAGCCCAGGCACCCAACCCAGAACAAGCAAGGGAGAGGTGAGCCCCTTCCCTTTCTTCAGGTGTCTTCTCTTGGCTCATGTCTCCACTCTTGACCACAAATTCAGGACACAGAGCTCATCTCTGAGGGGTTGGGGAGGAACAGTAGAGGCAAGAACCCAAAAACTGCACAGAATCAAGCTTAGAGAAACCCAAAGATCTTAAGACCCAACTCACTTCAAAGAAGGTTGTGTGCTTGTTTTAATTCTCCTAGGTAGACTGTTACTCCTTTCTCTGTATCCCCAGAATGCTTTCTACATATAATTATGTGAGTACACATCTGTGTGTCTTCTTAGAGCACAAGCTGTTTGTGGCCTGCAAACAGGTCTTCCCCATTCCAGGGTTTTATCTAGTATCTCAGGCCATCACAGGATGGAATAAAATGACTGCATGGCTTAGACGCACCTGGAATGGAAGAACTCCAGTGGAGTAAAGAGTTATGGAACTGAATTGGATTTATTCTGGGCTTAGGCTGAAGTGGCCTTGGGGTTACAGTTAGAATTCAAGTCTCAATTCTGCCCCCACTTTCCATGTCTGCTTCAGACACAGGTCAAGGCTGGAGCTAGACTGAATGTTTATGGTCAGGGCTTTTTAATCTTCCTTCTTGCTATTTTTTTCCCTACCATTCCAGTATTCTCCCATTGATATTTCTCTCTGATGAAAATGTGTTATTCATCAGAGAAGTATTGGGCCAAAAGAAAGCATTTTATTGCTATTATTGTTATTCTAGAAGCACAAAGTTTCAAAAAATTTTTTTCTTTAAATTTTTTATTGTTATGTTAATCATCATACATTACATCATTAGTTTTTGATGTAGTGTTCCAGGACTCATTGTTTGTGCATAACACCCATTGCTCCACGCAGAACGTGCCCTCTTTAATACCAATCACCAGGCTAACCCATCCCCCCAACGCCCTCCCCTCTAGAACCCTCAGTTTGTTTTTCAGAGTCCATCATC